TTATGTTTTACACGCTTGGGGTACGAGGTTCCAACCCGCATATGGCAATGAATTTTTTGCATTTTTTCTTAATTCTTTTTAAGTTAGTATAAATTTTAACTCGTTTGATTTTTATCACATTTAGATTCAATAACTTCAATAAAGATCAAGGACCCCATCACTTTAGTCGCCCCTTGCAAGAAGAAATTTCTTATTCGTATTAAAATTATTTTACTATATTTTAAGTTTTCGCTTCGATGCAAAGCTGAGAAGATATTTTTTTGTGACTATCATTTATTTTCTCTGCTCTAACTTGACCTACTTTTTTCAACAATACGTCAAATTACTACAATTCGTATCTATTTATTGGTTATTTTAGCTAAAGTAAAACATTAAAATTAATTCAGTTCATATTTAATTGTAGAATATTTTTAAACGCCAAAAGTTACTAGGAAATGATAACTATTATTTGTATTTAAGTTATCTATTACGATAAAAATGCAAAAAAATATTGAGTTACTCTGATAAATTTCCTATAAATAGTAATTATAAAATTTCCTGACTGCATATTAATCCTAACGATACAATTTTTTTAATTCTCATAAAATTTTTTATTTAATGATATCAATTTCAAACTTGCAAATTGAGCTAAAAGTTATGGTAATAAATAACTTTTTTTTTACTATAAACTTTCACACGATTCAACATAAAAAGATTAAAAAAATAGGTTAAATATGTCATTTTCCTTCTTTTTAACATATTAATAATCAAAATCAGTATTAATTTAAAACAATTTTTTTTTCTTAATTATTTCTTAATAATAAGTAATAATATTAAAATTTAGATAGAAAAAGTCTAATTGCACATTTAAAACATAGCAAAAAGTTGATTTAGAAAAGATATTTTTGTTTCTGATGTAAGTTCCTTGTAGTCCAGTGTATTTATTCATAAGTAACAAAAATTTTTTATCAAAAAGTATTGCATCAATCTCTTTATATTTTTATACACGTTAAAAGTAAAGGAATATACAACTACTTCATTATTTTTATAATTTCTGTTGTGTGTTAACTTTGTTAACTGTTATAACTTTATCAAAAATGACCATATCAGTATAATTTTTTTTTATTTAGATGCATGTCAATCATTTGGTTTTTTTTTTATAAATCTAACCCTTTACCTGCCCACAAGAGCGATTCAAAATGATAATTTTTTTTTTTTAGTTAAAGTAAATCATTAAAATTAATTCAGTTCTGGATATTTCAATGTAGAATCTTTTTAAATACTAAAAATTACTTAGAAATGATTACTATGATTTCTATTTAGGTGTTCTATTACGATAAAAATGCAAAAAAATAATGAGTTTTTCTGATAAATATACTGTAAATAGTAATTATAAAATAGTCTTAAAAATAGTATAGTTTTAATTCTCATACAATTTTCTATTTGATGATGTCAATTTCAAACTTGTAATTGAGCTAAAAGTGATTGTAACATATTCAATTTTTTTTACTATAAACTATCACAAATCTTTATCAAAAATTTTTCATCAACTTTAAAGAAACAAAAATTAGATTAAAAATGAAAAATTGGACTGATTATTTTTAATATATTAAAAATCAAATCAGTAATAATTTGAAAACAATTTTTTTTCTTTTAATTATTATTTTATATGTAATTTGTAATTATATAAAAAATTAGAAGTGATAGAAAAAGTCTAATTGCAGATTTGAAAAGTAAATTTTTGCTTCCGATGAAAGTTCCTTGTAGTCCAGTACATTTATTTATAGTAATAAACAGTTTTTATTAAAAATTATTGTGTCAAGCCCTTTAAATTTTTGTACACGTAAAAGTAAAGCAAAATATAACTACTTTATTATTTTTATAATTTCTTCGTTTAAATTGCAATATTAAATTATTGAATATCAATTTCATACTAAATTTAATAATTATAATTAGTATTTATTCATATATTATATTTTAAAATCAATGAACTACTAATTAGGATATAATCAAAGAAATAAGAGTTGATGTTGCTTTTGGAATAATCCACCAATTTCTCTAAATGAAACACTATCTACAGATTTGCATCGAAGCGTTTCTTATGATAGTGATTTTAATCACTGTCAGATATCATCTATACTTGTCCCATCTATGCCTCGTCTACACTGTTCCTCGACCCTAATGTGCTATCGTTTTTTTTTTGTTTATTCCTTACATCTTATAAGGGTATCCGCTTTATTTTTTGAATTTGAACAAACATAACTAATTTGGAAATTGGTATACTGATATTTGAGAAAGTAATTGCTTGATAATAATTTTTGGATTTGTACTTTGGAAAATATTAGCATTTTAAAACTTAGATTAGGGAGGTTAAGCGCGAATATGACTATTTTTTTAAATTTAATAGTAAATGGTATTTGAATTTTTAATATAACATTATTCGTTTATTAGATATAAATATTTAAAATTTCAATTTTTTGAGTTAATATGCATTTATAATACATAAAGGATTACAAATATAGGTAGCTAATTGATTTTCTTTTTTTTCACATCAATATTCGCAGGTACGCATCATTTATTAACAATGGTAGTTAGGCACATTGTTGTGAGTTTTTAAATATACTAATTGACAATACAGAAAGTATATCTATTGATAGTCATAATTGACAATAAAAATACCATGACTGTGACAGTTATGTTATAAAAACAAGTTTGTCTTTCACAGTTTTTCGTTAAATCTAATCATTTATGAAATAATGCCGAAAAAAACGAAAACTTTATGCAAAATTTCGGTTCCGTATAGTATTCTGTAGTCAGTCATCATATTAGTTGCGGGTACGATACACTGGTCACTTTTGTGGAGTGTCTAAGACTAAAAAAATGTATACTTTGCGCAATATTATAACATAAGTTATACAAGTTTAAAAATAAAAACCCAAGTTTACGTGTTTTTTAAATGGAAAATCATAACCTACACTGGGAAAGTACTTAATATTAATATTATAAGCTTTAACCTTCAGGTAATATTTTTGACATTTCCAACGATATTTTGAGTTGAGAACGATAAATAAATTATTGTAAAAAATGAAGCAACCTAATGAATATAAATCATTTATTTATAATTTTTTATTTATAGAATAAATAAATAAATATTTTAACAATAACCAATTAATTTATGAACCATAACAATTAATAATAATGAAAATTAAATAAATTTCACCATCTCTATTGGATAATTTTATGTTTATTTATTATTATCTTAATTAATAAACTAATTAACAAAAATATTTTAGTTAATTGGTTTTACTTTATACTTTCATGACTTTATAAATGTTATAATATTAATAATTTATATAATACTTTATGGAGTATTTATAATAAAACCTTACCGATAAAATTAGTTTTAAATTGTATTTAAATGTGCCACATGCTGCTAACTCATTATTTTCATAACAAGAAACTTGTTTCATAAAAAACTGCAACTATAGATTATAAAATTACTTAAAACGAAATTTAAACATATTTATAAAAATAAATAAAATATTACATACTAAAAATGGTCATCTATAAAAGTACTAATTTTATAAAATAATTTAACTTAGTACTCATAAAATTCATACTCAAAATATTTTATAAAATATAATTTTGAATAGGGCGAGTTGTGCTATAGTTATGTTATTACTTTTAATATTCACCTGTATCCTTATTTCTTCGGGTAAATCAGCAATTTGACATAATCGCAAAAATGAAATAATCTTTATTTTCTAAATATATGATACTTTATTATATTTATTTATTAGGTAAATTAAAATATAAAGGTACTTGATTAATAAATTGTAATTACTTTCTATTATTTCGTACTAATTAATTTAAATTAGAATGAATTAATTAAAGGCTTCTCAATAGTTACTATCTTACTAATATATGATTGTCTAAAATTACCCGATTAAAAGTCCATGTTGCTTGTTTCAGAAGTACAATGATGAATAGACTATCTTGTGTTAATATATAAATTGCTGGAATTGTATAATTCAAATATAAAATAATAAACATACTATACGCCATGTCTATAAATACGAATAAAAAGAAGAACACTAATATAGGACCATATGCATAACTAAATGTTTTGAGAATATCACTGAGATTAGCATGAAGTAGTCTGCAACTCTCTATTAGCATAGCAATTTCATCCTTAGACCAATGGCCTGGTGCTCTAATAATTTCACCTGGTAATCGTTTCCAAAATTTGTTTAAAATGGAAAATCTATGTCCTATTTGCCTTAAAAAGAAACATGCACTAATAACTATAACAAAGTCAGTCAATCTCGGTATGACAAATACGAAATTTGTTATGATTTCCATGATGCTGAATCTTCTACCAGGGACTGCATGTGATAGTATAGTGAGAATTGTTATTTTAAAAATGAAGAATAATATTATAATTGAAATATAAAATTTATTATTAAATGCAGACATTTCAATAAGCGGTGGAAGAGCAGAATATTTAAAATCATAGTTGCGCATACTTTCAATGAACCTGCAAATGTTTTGAAATATGATTTTAAACTTTTAATGTTGTAGAATTATTTACTTACTTTGTTGTTATTTTTTCACTATACCGAACAACCAAAAAAGTTACCCAATAATGAATTACATCGTAGTAAAAATAATAAAATGGTGGTCTTTGAAGAAAAATAAATGATAGTAAAAATAAGATTCCTGTTCGAAAAAATTCATCAAGAATGTGCACTCTTGAACCTTTTAAAATTAAAAATTTAAATGGGTATACACAGTATGGCAGGTTTCTAAATCCACATAATAAATAAAGAAAACTAATTATCTTTAATGAATTGAGAAATTTTGATTTAATAATATTGTCAGTTTGATGTATTGATGAGTTTTTAAATAAAGTGTTATGAGGATTCATTAAAATAAAACACAACAATTTTAATAAAAAATAAAAATAAATGTAATTATTTAATATGATTGAGTTGAATTAAATTTAAAATCTTAATAAGTTATAATAAAAATGTTATTTTAAAGAATGAAGATTTAAAGTATTACTATTTTAACATCATGTTTTTTATTCGACTTATTTTAAACTATGAACGGATATCGTGATAATATAGATAGCATCTAAATGAAAATAACACAAACACAATAATCATCTATTTATCATAAAACTGTATATTTCAATATTTGTAGTATTAAATAGAAACATTGTAAATTGTATATAATTAAAGACGATGCTTCCAATATTGTAATGTTATTCTATATACTTAGAAAAACATTATAGTGTTATAATTACGCTAGTTAGATTTTGAGTTGATCTATTTAATACGAAATTACATAATATAGATATAATACATACTAATATAGATTTCTTTCTCGCCTTCCTTTGTTCCTAACCTATCATACCTCTTAAACTATTCCTTACTTACTACACACTTGGGTTATTTGGACAAGCGTTTATACTCCATCCAATTTTCTCTCCTTTCGCTCATTTGCCATTCGTGGAATTACTTTTTCTTACTTTCTATGATTTTTTAAACAGTCTCATCCCTCCGCCAGTTTTCTTATTTCTGGCATTCTACTTCTACTCTTACCAAGAATTTCCTTTTCAGTATTCTTTACACGATTAGCAAATCTATTCCACGCATAATTTATGTCTTTCTCGACATTTCATGCCATCCTCTCTTTTCCTTAATCTCCTTTCAATTTCCACTACCAGATCCTGGATTTTCCTCCCGTGTTTCTTCTGTTTTTCTATATTCTACTCTTTGCATCACCTCAACAATCTCTATCCAAAACACTTCCTTATCTATTTCATTACATCCTACTTATAGTGCATAGGCACTTATTACATTTAGCACTTTCTTCTCAAAAATCAATTTTGCGACTATAATTCTATGACTTTTCCTAGCTACTACTTTACTTTTCATCTCATCATTAATAATTATCCTGACATCATTCTTTGTACTAGACTTACCTGAGTATATTATTTTATAACCCTCACTTATTTCCTAGCTATTTCTACTACTATACTTTTCATCTCATCTTTCATAATTATCACGATATCATTCTTTATATTAGACTTACCTGAGTATAGATAGTATCGAAATGAAAATAATACAAACACTATAATCGTCGATTTATCATAAAACTGTATACTTCAATATTTGTAGTATTAAATAGTAACATTTTAAATTATAAGTAATTAAAGGCGATTTTTTCAAATATTGTAATATTATTCTTACATGGAATAACATTATAGTATTATAATTATTTTATTTAGATTTTGAGTTAATCTATTAAATTGATTTATTACCTTCATATCTGATAAAAATTTGCGTACACAAATAACTACTAAATTAAAAACATTCATAAGTACATTTTATAAATATTTAAACGAACATTAATTTAGAAACATTAAAATTAGTCAATAACTGTTGGTAATAACATTTATTTTCAGTTCCCTGGAGAAATATAAATGTTAAGAATAATTTATGAACTATTAAATTTTATCTTTAGATTACTTCAGATAAAATAAATTAAGTCTAAATTTACAATGAACATAGCAACACATTTATATGAACGTTCTAAAAATCAGATAATCTTAAGGTACAGTCAAACGTATGCTTTTAACATACAATTAATGTATCGAAGAATTATTATTTTCATTAATATATATTTGAAAAAATTTTAATTTCAAATATGAATTTTATTAAACTACTTCAATTAATTTAGCGACAAATTATTATCTAAAAACATAATCTCACCAAAAGATATTTAAAAATAAAGCGTTATAAAGTTATATATTCAACAACAAAAGATTGGTGTTTATGAAAAAGAATAAAGCAGTGGGGCTAGATGAAGTGCTAGTAGAAGTATGGAAAAAATTAGGCGGTTTTGGCATAAGGTGGTTGTAGGAACTTTTAAATAAAATCTTATTAGAAGGAAAAATTCCAAATGAATGGAGGAATAGTATTATGGTGCCGATATTTAAAGGTAAATGTGATATACAGGAATGTGCAATTATAGAGGCATAAATCTTATGAGTCATAGTATGAAAATTTGGGAAAAGGTAATAGATAAGAAAATAAGAAATGAGACATCGGTATCTAAAAACCAGTTTGGAATAATGCCTGGTAAGTCAACAATGGAGCCATTATTATGTGAGAGGCAGCTAATAGAAAAGCTGTGTATGGTATTTATAGATTTGTTGAAAGAGTATGAAAAAGTACCAAGAGAGGTTTTAAAGTGGGCATTAATGAGAAAAGGAGTCCCGAAAAAGTACATTAATATAATAGAGGATATGTATGATGGCACATGTAGCAGAGATGAGAATGCTTAGATGAATGAGTGGAGTGACTAGAGAAGATAGGATAAGGAACGAGTATAAAAATGAAAACGATTGTAGACGTGTTAGAAAGGGAGCTCTTTTCAGGCTACGGTTACGCGCGAGTAATTTTAAGCGAAAACTCGAGTCAAGGCCGAGCGCTCGTGTCCAAAGAATTGATTGACGCGATAAATCGGTGGGGCGCAGAGGTCTGGACTACACCGATATACCACCAACGGGCTAATCCAGTAGAACGCAAAAACCAAGAGTTAAAAAAAGGACTTCGCGCTTTATTAACGGAGTCGAGTCACACATCTTGGAATACAAAACTTCCACCTTTGTTGTTCGCTCTACGCAATAGGCGTAACGAGACTACCTTATACACACCGTCCGTACTCGTATTAGGTAGAGAAGGTAAGAAACCGGATGACTGGCTACTTCAGCGAGTACAACCGGTAGCAACCAATACTATCAACGACGACCGTTTAGAGCGCGAACTACAAATCACCAGCACAAAAATAACATCGCCGGCCGGTCACATCAAAACAAAATACGTGGTCGGCGACGTTGTTTAATACAAAGTGCATCACTTATCGAACGCAAACAGGAAATTTCATGCGGGTTTTGCGCCGAAATAGTAGGGCTCTGTTAGACTAGTCAAACGCCTCGGTAAAGGCGTGTTTTTAACAGACCAGTCCCCACCAAGGATGATTAATGTCTCATGTATGAAACGACAAAATTAGTAGATTTTATCTTGTTTTTCTTTTTATTGTTATTTTTCAACATGAACATCAACGACCACAACAACCTTCTTGCCACCTCCTTATCAGTCGAGGAAGTCCGCCGTCTGGTTGGCCAATTGGCGGGCACGGTGGGCCTCCCGGCAGATCCCCCCCCTCGCATACTGTGCTCGGCGGAAGATGCCGCACGTACCCCCTACCAGAGGTACTTAGAGTATAGCGGTGGCTTGGTGGGGGGTATTTGACATGGTCACGGCGTTGTCACCCGTTTGACACCCCGCGGTCGTGCCAGCTCCTTCTCAGCCACCGCTCCACTGTAAACCGGATTGTTACACACACGCGTTATCGACGTGATGTAAAGTCCAATAAATGCCTAGCGTCGAATACCCGCCGAAATAATACGAGTAGTTGAAGTCATCTCCGTGACACTTTCCTGCACTCATCGTAAGGAAAAAACGACGAAAAACCATCGTACCGTTTCTTTTCCTTTTTGCTTTTTTGGGTTTCTTAACATCAACGCATCTGTTGCTATATTTCTTTGTTTTTTTTTTTTTATTGTTCAATTCTCTTAGTTATTGTGCACGTTATTTTTATAATTGTTGTATTATCTTGGCCGAATAAATGGCACCGTGCCAGTTTTGTAATTAATTTGTGTCTACTACTTTTGTTCACTATCAGTCTGCCCTCAACATTATATAGTTTTTTAAACGTTGGAGGTATGAAATAGTTCTTTTGCAAGCTGAACTGGTTATAGGAATAGTTATTATAATAATAGCTAGCTTATACATTTCGTTGAATGCAAACTTGTACTTTTCAAATAGATCAATAAGATTCATCAGGTTGTTTACCTTAACATTAAAATTAATTTGATATTTGTTTATAGTTGCTGGTAGGATTTTTAGTTCTACTCTTAAATTGTTCATATCAAGATTATAGTGAGCAGCTAAAGGTTTTAATTGTTCATAACATAAAAACTGTTCATGTTGAGGGTGTAATAAGATATTGATGCCAATAAACCACAATTATCTGTAAATCGTTTTTCTAGTTTTTTAATTATATAATCCAACGCTGGTATGTATACATGTAGTCTTATAACATATTTTAATGTAATTTTATTAGTTTTTAAAGAACTGAGCTCAGTAAATATGAACTGTTTAAATTTGTCGAGAATTTTTTTTGTACCATGTTCATTTTGAGTGGATATGTTGTCCTCTTTACAAATATTAGTATCTTCAATGTACGTTTTATTAAAATTGGAACTATTTTTCTCGGTTTCACCAGTTTTCATGATTTTAAAAGTAGTTATAAATAATGATATTAGTGTTAAAGATTGAGCCATTTCAGCTTTTACATTTTGCTAGTAATCACTAACTGTTTTTACAATTTGAAGAATATCACAAAATATATGAAAGGT